TCTTACTAATGTTTACCATTTTACTGTTTATTACAATTTTTAATTCTAAATAAACCCTTATTTTTAACATTTCTAAATTATTTTAATTATTTCAACTATTAGCATTGGAAGTTTCAAAACCAAATATCTCGGAAACGGTGCGAGACAGCTACTTTCATAAAGTAAATCTTTTTTGTGTAAAAAAATTGGGAAATAAGAATTTGATAAAAAGTTATATCGTTTTCAACACATTCATTCTACGGCAGCTAGCGCCCTCTATGAGCTATAACCAAAATGTGAACAAATTTCAATTCCTCTACCCAAAGAACCCCAAACCCCAAAATTTTGTGGGGATATTTGCATTTATTAAGAAATAAATGAAAATAAACTAAAATAATATTTTATATTTAACACCCTGTATCTTTTTATCTATCAACTTTTGGACTAAGGTAAGTCCGGCTAAATCGCAATATTTTTGCTTCGAGAATTTACCCATGAATTTTAGCCCATTACCTCGGGACCACCCTGTATAATACGATATTTTTACTGTTAGCGCGCGGGAAATGCGATAACGTCTTGGAGATCAGAGGTGAGAAGGAAAGTGGAAAGGCTTAGTTTAAGACTTATGGAACGTTTTTCCCCTTTTTATAAAAAATACTTAGGAGATATCTTTTCACGGACGGTGTTGGTTATATTTATCCTTTGGTTATACGTAATCTTTATTGTACAGTCAGTTCACTCTTATAAACTAAAACAAATGTTCAGTATGTTGTTATTTTTGGTATAACAATTTATATAACATTCTACCCTCCTTATCTTTTTTACAACAAACATTATGGGCCAAAGTTGTAAGTAAGTAATTTTGATGTGATTTCAAAATTATATCTAGAAAAACATTAAATATTGTATTTTGTGGATATAAGCTAATCAAATACATTTTTTGACAAGATCCTGTATATTTTTGCATGTTTGAATAGGGTGCTTCCTTAACATTATACATTTATAGGTTTGTCAGGTCTATCTCTAATAATAACAGATATGGATATGAATTTATTGTTCTTGTTATTTGTTTGTTAACATATTTTTTTGGTCACATTTTCCTTGCAAGGAACCTTGGAGGTAGATGTATCAAACCTTGCATCATTATCATTATAATACGGAGAAAACCTTCTATATAAATTTGCAAAAAAAACTCACGGTCTGTTCTATTTAAAGAAAACAGGTTTAATAAATATGTTCAATATGCAATATATTAAGCAAACCTACAATGGCCAATACAATTTTTTTCTAAATATGGAAGCAACACAGAGAAGTAAAGGAAAATGTTATGTAAATAATTCTGTAAATCTATCATGTAGTTGTTTTTCAAAATATAAGTACACATTGCAAAAATCCATTTCTAATCAATGTTCTTCGATGGTTTCAGCAAAATATTGTCATTTCTAAACATTTGATCATCTTTAACAATTTTTATTTTGGTAGAAAGTTCAGAAATGTTCAGATATGTTGCTATTGGTGAAATTCGTATTGATTAAATTAGTTTTTGGATGCATATTGCGCAAAAAATGAAACTGAAATGAACAGCAGGTTTGTAACAAAGTTGTAAAAATTCATACGTCCATAGTTGTATTAAAATTTGTCAAAATAATATTTTAATATAATTTTCTATGATGCCGCTCAATTATTCATATGCTCAATAATAGTTGTAAAGAGAAATATACAAGATGTTTGGAAATTAGCTATTGTACCTATGAGAAAAGGGCTTAAATTATTTGCGGTTCTTTAATAAATTAAACAGATTAATATTGAAGATCATAAAAAATTCTTCCAAATCAACATTAACCATTTCCGAAAAATGTTTTTTTGAGAGAAAATGTTTTAAAGTACCCTTAAAGGCAGTTAAAATTTTCTATTTATTTTATTTTACCCCACCAAAAAAACACATTTAAAAGACGCGAAAATAGAGAAAATATTAAATGTACAGATTAACAAAACAATAGATAAAAATGATTATACACAAACAAAAATAAAACACCATGACATAATTTGTGAAGAAATGAGGGAAAAATTTATCTCTTATCTTCGAATGAACTAAAACCTTCTTAGAAGGTCTTTGTTAACATTATATAGCTAAAAGTCAGGGATTTTAGGAATTTACTTTCAATAGAATCTATGCTACTACTACGTATAGGGTTATTCCCATAATCTATCATTTTTATTGCTTGCTTGCCTACGTATTTAAAAAAATTGCATGAGCCAAAGTTGTAGGAAATTTTCTTGTGATTTTTAAACTATATAAACAACAATTGAATGATGTATTTCGGATTTATTTAATAAACCTGTTTTTTCTTTAATTAGAGCACACTGTATATTTTTACATACCTGGAGAGAAAGCTTTCTCAGTATTACACTGATATAAGTTTGATAGATCTTCTAATAATAAGGAAGATATGGCTAAATGAGTTCGCTAACAATAAACTAAACTTTTTTAGCCATACACCTCTTATTATTATTAGAGGTAGACCTGTCAGACCTTATATCAAATAATGTTGAGGAAACAATCTTTCCAAATATGTAAAAATGTACAAGGTCTACAAGTTTGGCTTGTATTTGCAAAATGCAACATTCAGTCGTTTTTCAAGAAAATTTCTTACAACTTTGACCCATACGATTTTTTTCTAAATACTGAAGTAAAAAAGATAAGTTGGGTAGTATTTTATGTGAACAACACTGGATATTGTAATAGCGATTCCAAAAAGAGAAACGTACTCTAATTTGAATGAACAAATGCAAAATGTAACATTTTAATTATGTTGCTATCTACATCTAACTGTATATTAGCGATAAGCGATATAGTGTCAAAAATTACATCCAATTCAGGACAGCTTTTATTTTTTTTTTTATAAAATGTTGTATTTTATTGTAGTCGTATTACAATATCATAGTTTTTGTGATAAATATAATAACATAGAGTTTTATGTACTTACGTTTAAAACAAATATATTGAAGATAAAATTTTTAATTTTCAGACTCCTACAAGTAAACATATTTAGTATTTCAAACGATGTTGTTATAAGCGCGGTCCTATTTAAATTTGCAGACGGTGTAACCACTATGAGCTTTTAACGTCTTACTTACTCCTAGCCATGATAATATCAAAATTAAATACTTGCCATTTCTCAAGATTTGCTTAAATCCCCCTTTAACCATAAATTTTAGACTGCCTCATTTAAACCGTTTGTATTTTATTGCATTTAGATTTCCGAGGAGATCGATAGTCATCGTGAGGCCCCAAGTCCTTCAATTCTGGCAATAACTAGGGGATTCTCGCGAATCGTAGAGGAAATGAAGTGGAAATCCATTGCAATTATCTCTAGTAGTGAGTATATTTTAGCTTTATTTATATTTTGTATGGATGTCGGATATTATTCAAATGTAGGTGTTATTCCCATTAGGATGATATTTTGTAATAACTTTTATTTCCTTGAAAAATTGCAAGCATAAGTAGTTACTGTATGAATTAAAATTACTACAAAATTACTAAATTTGTACATTTAAATACAGAATGATTTAGAAATTACTGTAAAAAAATAGGGGGTGATAGATCACCAAAAAATAAAACGATGTTTCTTCGAGAACATAGACATGTCGTCATTTGTCAAAGATGATTTTCTAAAATCAAGTTTTAGCCTTTTTGGAAAATATTTCTAAAACAGAATTTATTGCCTTAAAGTTTGATAGATATGATAGAAGTTACTAGCTACTATCTCTCCCGGTGACATTTTATGACATCAGTTTTTTTGAAGTTAGGTTTTCTGTGCCCAAAAAATGTGCAAACAAAATTTAATGCAAATTCTTTGCTCAACAAAATCAGACCTAGTGAAAATCGATAAACTCACTATCGTATGTTTCCAAAAACACGAGTAGCTTTACAGCAATTGAATATACAGGGTGGCCAAATGAAAACGAAACAGAGCCATTTTCAGGAACTGCGTCAAGATAGTAGGAAAACACTCAGACCCGTCGATTTTAGATTAAAGTATCACCCCAAAATATTTAAATGGCATTGGGGGTTGAGTAATATTTCTTTTGAAAGCTCTTACAATTCTCTTTACAACAGACTTTAAATTTTATAATTCCGCCCAATACTTTGTANGGTGACAATACTTATTGAAAAAGAACATGAACAAAATCTTTTAAATTTAATTAGTTGTCGTCGTCAAAATAAATGAATATTGAATGTTTTCTAACAGACGTTTGGAAGGGACGGTATACAATGGGGGATGTTCTCGTACGAGATTAATTTCTCGTCTTCCTCTGGTGAAAACTTGGTTGCCATTTTAAAATTCGTTAAAAATAAACGCTTTTTAGCACTGTATGCTGTAAGCTCAACTGAACGACTGCGTTGAAATCAAATCACATTTGATTTCGACTGAACTGACGACGCATAAAATTTTCTGCCTACCGTGAGTCCACCTGAGCAGAATCTAACAAATCAGCTACGCATCTTCTTGAGTTCTAGATTTTAGCATAAGTCCGACGCGCACAACTGACTGACTGCTTTGCGTCGCCTACAGTTCTAACAAACCATAGCTTAAGCAGACTCTAACAAACCAGCTACGCATCTTCTTGTGTTCTAGATTCCAACGCAAGTCCGACGCGCACAACTGACTGTCTGATTTGCGTCGCCTACAGCTCTAATAAACCATAGCTTTATGCTAACCGCGTGTCGTCTGCGACGCACAGCTCTAACAAACCAAAGCTTCAGATATAACCAAAAAGCCCCTTAATAGACTGTCGACCTAATATTAGTTTTTTATGTTATATCTCATATGTTCTGTTTTTCCGAAAATTACGAGACGCTCTTTGAAATGGACATAATCTGACTTATATCGATTAAGTTACAAGGCTTGTCAAAAAATTCGGGTGGACCAATTCACTTCTCTCTGAGAAATAAATATAAAAAAGATGATAATTGACAGTAGTAAACTATTACCTACACATTTCTCTTTTATTTTCAGATGTTTGCACCGATCATCAGAAACTGCTCCATTTAATTTCAAAAACTTCTGGAACAGTTTTAGGTTCATTTAGACCTGAATTGTGCTCTCCTGTTCACTTCATCTGCAAGTTTTACAACGTATCTCTATTTTCCTGGAATTGTCCTAAGGTGAGTGAAGGAACAAAATAAGCTTTCTGAAACTCTATTCGATTGATTTATTTATATATACGGTGTGTTCTAGACCACCCGTCCATCCCTTCTAAAGGACACATATTGTCGTGACCTTGTTTGTAACCCTGCAGGTAAATTTCAAAGTCATTTCACGGTCAACTAAGTTTTTTTAATGGAAACCATTATTTTAAACCCCTGATTCGGAATGAGCGGAAAATTCTACGTTCATATGGTGTATCATGCGCAAGGTCCATTTGACCCCCAAGGTCACGTGAAGGTCAATTTTTTTTATTGTGATGAGGTTGCAGAAGACCCACAGTTCTTATTCTTCTTGACAATGGAATCGAAACAACCTTCCGTTAATGAGGAAATCTGTCGGGATAACGTCGCCACAGTCTTTCAGCAGCGGCAAATGAGCCTGCTTCAAAATAAACTTGTAACATGCCGAGTGCTTCTTCATTGGCGTACACCATTTCTGTAAAAGTCTTCTTCAAAAATTTGTTTTAATGTCACATGTCAAGTTTATCGAAACATGTCACTTCATAATTTTGCAACGTTTATCTGACACATTTTTCGCTAAACCTTAACTTTGCGGGGTCATTTGGGTGGAAAGATTCAGTAAAAAAATTGACCTTCACGTGTCCTTATGGGGTCAAAATGGATCCCACACATGATACATTATCTGAACGTAGAATTTACCGCTCTTTCCGAATCCGGGGTTGAAAATAAGGGTTTCCATTTAAAAAAACTAAGTTGACTTTGAAAATGACCTTCAAGGTCACAGACGAGGACACGACAATATAAGCTCCTTGGAGACCAGTAAGTTTCATCTGAACCATTTTTCACATAACCATGCGCTTTGGATTTTAGAAGGGGTGGACGAGTGATCTGGGACACCCCGTATATACTAGCGTGGACCTAAAATTGTGAAAATTTTAGATTCTTTTTAAAATTGTAAAAATAACTTATAAGCATTATTATTCTATTATTTACCAATTATATAGTCTGGTGAAAATGAGAGGAATACATTCTGAAATAGGTAAATTTTTATTTTTAAAAGCGCGTTCTGCGAGATATTTATTTTACATATGACGTTATCTGTGTGACAGTGATGGCGTCATCGATGTTTTTTTAAATACAAATGTGGGTCATGCGTAGCTCATTTGAAAGGTCTTGTATTTCTCAATTCAACTATCAATTCTTTGCAAGAAATTGTATGATTTTAATTACTTATCACAAAAAACGTCAATAAAAGAAAAACTAAGAGAGATGGGTATAAGGAAGTGGCTATGGAAAATTCAACAACAGTTTTTGATTAAATATACAGGATGTTCCATTTAGAAAAACTAAGCTTTGGCGGTTCAGAGTTAAGCAAATTCGACAATAAATTTTCACTATCCTATGTAAAATTAAAGAGTTTTTAAAATAATCCTTACAAAGGATAGGGATCTCCCTACTCTCTTTCAAATATCAATACTTGCACGATATAAAAAATAGACATTTTTGATTAGGCTATCGAAAAGCAACTTTTTTTGAAAGAATTGAAATATCTCGAAGGTCATTAGAGATAGATATAGGGAACCTTAATAAAAGTCCTCTGAAATTACGAGTAAAATCCAAATATGCAAAAATATATAGGGTGTTCCATTTTGCAAGTAGATGGCGACTTCTGGTATAACTGGAAATGCTGCAATAATGGCATTATTTTATTTAAAGAGAGTATCCTCGGAAATCCCAGGGCCCAAATTTGCAAATATCAAATCGAAGTAGTCTCTGAAATATTCTAATGGGCCATCACCGTAAGCCTTTATAAATAGGAGTAACTGTACATTATCTTTTCTATTTTTAATTGTGGTGGATAATGTTGAACAAAATGCCGATTGACACACATATATTTTTAAGGATAACTTATATTTCTATGAAAGAGTAAACACTTTATTTGATTGTTGTGAAGTACACGTAATATGAACTTTTATTAGGCTTCTTTATTTTTTGCTTATAAATGATTTTCTAAATTTTCAACATTTTTATCTATATTTTATTAAATCTCTATAAAATTACCTCTTGTCAATGTAAATTCTTTCCATAAATTAAATATTTAGTGCATAATAATTAATAATAATTATATTTGTAATATCGACAGAGTTTGAAATTAACTTTTATATTACATCAACATTTTGATAGAATACTGTTAAGTCTTTATACGTTTCTTGGCACGTCTTGCATATTGCATATTCTCGTTGCGAATATATTATCCTTATTGTAACCTTAGATGTCGGACCAAATAATTCAATATATTCAATGTGTGCACTACGAACAACTTACAATATAATAGTACTGTTAGTTTGATGTGATATGTAAAGTCTTCATTCAAAGAAATTCAGTTTTAAATACATTGAATTATTTATTTATTTGTTTCATTAAATCTTTATAAAAACCAAAGTTTCACATGACATAACAATCAACTTGAACTGCACTATTATGCTTGAAGGTTCGTAGCAATTTATTCGCATTTTTCATTCATTTCTTGAAATTGTTTTAGATCCTAGTGCACAAACGGGTGCTGGTAAAGGGAGGTACTTACTTGGCGAGAAAATAAAACGATTTATGTGGTATCTAACTGCAATGTTTGTCGCTACTCCCCAACCAAGCAGCTACCTCTTCCCTCTATTCTGGTACGAAATCCCTTGTATGAACGCGGTCTTTTAAGGCACGGATATACAGAAACACACATCAACATTCATCGCTACTTGCCAAGCGAGCGCCTTCTGCTAACAGCAAATCGTTTGCAATATGAACGCGGCCTTAGAGCTTTATATTTATTATGCTTTCCATTATATTCCGTTTACTTTCGTACCTTCTGTGTATAACCGAACCTAAGTAATTATGTCTACTTACTGCACATATCTCCTTTTTATTACAGGATCATTGTGAGAATCTTTCGTTTTTACAAATGTAAGGTATAACAGGGACAAACTTTAGGACCGATTCATTTCGTTAAAATTAAATTAAAAAACCAGAAGTTTTATCAGATTCCTAAGGAACTTGTGAAGTCATATTTGAAACATGGTTCAGTGCTGTTCCCTTACAGTAACTATACAGGGTGTCCGGAAATGATGAGCAAAAAAATTCAGGGGATAATTCTAGACCGAAAATAAATCCTACCTCTTTCTATGAAATTTTTTCAAAAACTGATTATTAACGGAGTTACAGCTATACCACTAATTGGTTACTTCTATTATTGAAAACAAACTCAATCTCATGAAAAATTCAATATAAATTTAAATTTTATTTGGTTGTACATACAGGCTAACGGTAGTTTGGAAACAATTGTTATTCTTGAGGAATTTTCTTTTTTTGGAATTCATATAAAAATAGCATAGCGCCTCCATTCAAAGAGTATTGTAANACTTTAAAATCAAAATTCTTAATAAGTATTGGGCGGAATTATAAAATTTAGTCTGTTGTAAAGAGAATTGTAAGAGTTTTCAAAAGAAATATTACTCAACCCCCAATGCCATTTAAGTATTTTGGGGTGATGCTTACCCTTGCTTGGGGGTGAAAGTGGCGGAGTCAAAAATACCAGCAAAGAATGTCCCCCTTTAATCTAAAATCGACGGGTCAGAGCGTGTTTCTACAATCTTGACGCAGTTCCTGAAAATGGTGTTCTGCGTCGTTTGCGTGATGCTATTCACTGCAAAAGGCCGGAATTATGGATGGTATTTGCATCATGATAATGCCGGCACACAGTATTGATAATTCGAGACCATTTCGCCAATTTAACTCATATCGTTCCGCGACCATTGTATTAGTCTGATTTATTACCCAGTGACTTCTGGCTATTCCTTAAACTGAAAAGACTACTCCGTGGACACCGTTTCAACTCGATCCAGGAAATAAAAGTGATTTTTATATACAATGTAATAATATTCGCAAAATATAAACAAGAGTGGAAATAATAGGTAATCATAGGACAAATCATCGCAGATGAGCTACTACGCAGATCCGAGGACGCAGGACGGGGAACCACTTTTTCACCGATGTTTCGAGAATTTCCGGATTTTTCCCCTGCAAACGTCGTAAATACCACCAAGCCGTTCTGGACGTACTATATGATGTTGCCGTGTATACGACATAGCACTACACCCTTCTGACTACGCAGAAAGGCGCCAGCAGATATTGAAAATTTCCACCCCAAATAACGAGGAAGCTCTGATTGCTACCAACACGCCTTAGAGGCATCAGGCAATGCTGTCGTGCATTTCATCGGCGCTGTCAACAAATGGCGAAATGGCTGAAAAAATGGCGAAAACTATGGAATCTTCAACTCAAACTCTAAAACGACCTTACATCACCCGTGTACAAACGTCAGCCCAGGAACCGTGCGGTTCAATAACCAGCGTTCGGAACCTGGCCAATACATGTTGTACAATCGAAATTTTCTTTGTGTTTATATACGCCAATAGTTAGCTTATTTATTGTTAATTTATATAATTTTACGTAATTACCAAATAAATCTTACAAATTTTTCGAAATAATATTGAATTATATTTGTCTACTAAAAAATATACCGAATTCAATGCTCTCACTTGATCTTAAACCAATCCATCCAGGTACGTGTTATGTATGGTGAAGACCCACAATGGTACACCGCCTTTAAGTTGCCATAGGTACATACAGTCTACTGAACTAATCAATCGTATTCCATGACATGGCGCCCAACGTGGGGCGTTAACGTTAGAAATACCTACATCCTACATCCAATAGTATTTCACATTACCTAAAATGTCAGATGAATTAATACAAAAGAAATATTCAGGGTGAATCTTAAATGTGTAAATATGTTTTAACCGCGGGTACTCGTGATGTATACGAGATTAGTGACAGTTATTTTTCAAAATTACAAATATTTACGGAGGTACATTGTGAGAAGTGTAAACTCAATATTTAATTATTTTTGGGCACATGTACGTCTTACAAAATTGTAGTAGGTATAT